TTGACATATTGTTGATCAGAAATGATATAGAATTTCTAGAAAGCATATAGGGTTATTTGAAAAGTGTTTTTCAATGGAAAACCTGGATTAAGCTACTTGAACATTGAGCATCAAGATCTATAAGGATAGATCAAAAACGCTTAATAGTACTTTCAAATGAACACATACCGTGACAAGATTTTGAAGGAGTTCAAAATAGATTGACGAAGAAGGAGTTCTTGGATGTGTTATAAGGTGTGAGTATTGAGTAAGACTCAAGACATGACCTCGGCAGAAGAGAGAGAAAGGACGAAGGTCGTCCCCTATGCTTCAGACGTAGGCTCTACAGTATGCTATGTTGTGTACCGCACCTGAAGTGTGCCTTGCCATGAGTCAGTCAAGGGGTACAAGAATGATCCAGGTATGGATCATAGGACAGCGGTCAAACATATCTTTAGTAACTAGTGGACTAAGGAAGTTTCTCGATTATGGAGGTTGTAAAAGAGTTTGTCGTAAAGGGTTACGCCGATGCAAACTTTGACACTAATCCGGATTATTCTGAGTAGTAAACCGGAATCGTATAGTAGAACAGTTATTTGGAATAGCTCCAAATAGAGCGTGGTAGCTGCATCTAGGAGATGACATAGAGATTTGTAAAGCACACATGGATCTGAAAGATTCAGACCCATTGACTAGTAACCTATCTCACAAGCGATATATGATCAAACCCAATGGGTGTTGGACTCGCTACAATCACATACTGATGTGAACTAGATTATTGACTCTAGTGCAAGTGGGAGACTGTTGGAAATATGCCCTAGAGGCAATAATAAAATGGTTATTATTGTATTTCCTTGTTCATGATAATTGTCTATTGTTCATGCTATAATTGTATTGACCGGAAACCGCAATACATGTGTGAATACATAGACCACAACATGTCCCTAGTGAGCCTCTAGTTGACTAGCTCGTTGATCAACAGATGGTCATGGTTTCCTGACCATGGACATTGGATGTCATTGATAACGGGATCACATCATTAGGAGAATGATGTGATGGACAAGACCCAATCCTAAGCATAGCACAAGATCGTGTAGTTCGTTTGCTAAAGCTTTTCTAATGTCAAGTATCATTTCCTTAGACCATGAGATTGTGTAACTCCCTGATACCGTAGGAGTGCTTTGGGTGCACCAAATGTCACAACGTAACTGGGTGACTATAAAGGTGCACTACAGGTATCTCCGAAAGTGTTTGTTGGGTTGACATGAATCGAGACTGGGATTTGTCACTCCGTATGACGGAGAGGTATCTCTGGGCCCACTCGGTAATGCATCATCATAATGAGCTCAATGTGACTAAGTAGTTAGTCACGGGATCATGCATTATGGAACGAGTAAAGTGACTTGCCGGTAACGAGATTGAACGAGGTATTGGGATACCGACGATCGAATCTCGGGCAAGTAACGTACCGATTGACAAAGGGAATTGTATACGGGATTGATTGAATCCCCGACATCGTGGTTCATCCGATGAGATCATCATGGAACATGTGGGAGCCAACATGGGTATCCAGATTCCGCTGTTGGTTATTGGCCGGAGAACGTCTCGATCATGTCTGCATGGTTCCCGAACCCGTAGGGTCTACACACTTAAGGTTCGGTGATGCTAGAGTTGTTATGGGAAATAGTATGTGGTTACCGAAGGTTGTTCGGAGTCCTAGATGAGATCCCAAACATGACGAGGAGCTCCGAATGGTCCGGAGGTGAAGATCGGTATATTGGATGAAGGGTTTTGGAGTCCGGAATTGTTCCGGGGGTACCAGGTGATGACCAGCGTGTCCGAAAGGTGTTTCGGAGGCCCCGGCAAGCGTTGGGGGGCCTTATGGGCCAAGGGGAGGGGGCACATCAGCCCACTAAGGGGTTGAGCGCCCCTCCCACCCCATCTCACGTAACTAGGAGAGGTGGGGGCGCCACCCCTAGGGCAGCCGCCCCTCCTGGCTTGGGGGCAAGTTTCCTAGGGGGTGGGGGCGCCCAAACCCATCTAGGGTTTCCCCTGTGGCCGCCGCCCCTCCCCTAGGGAACCCTAGGGCGCCTCCTCCTCCCTTCCCCCTATATATAGTGAGGGAGAGAGAGGGCAGCCACACCCTTCCCTTGGCGCAGCCCTCTCCCTCCTCCAACACCTCCTCCTCCGTAGTGCTTGGCGAAGTCCTGCCGGAGAACCACGCTCCTCCATCACCACCACGCCGTGTGCTGCTGCTGGACGGAGTCTTCCCCAACCTCTCCCTCTCTCCTTGCTAGATCAAGGAACGGGAGACGTCACCGGGCTGTACGTGTGTTGAACGCGGAGGCGCCGTCCGTTCGGCGCTAGATCGGATCTTCCGCGATTTGAATTGCCGCGAGTACGACTCCATCAATCGCGTTCTTGTAATGCTTCCGCTTAGCGATCTTCAAAGGTATGAAGATGATCATCCTCTCCCTCTCTTGTTGCTAGAATCTCCATAGATTGATCTTGGTGATGCATAGAAAATTTTGAATTTCTGTTATGTTCCCCAACATCTTCATCAAGAAGTCCTCTACATGATTTTGCATTATTTCTGTGTATGTTGATGATCTCAACATCATTGGCAGCACACCAAACATTGATGAAGCGCGCAATCACCTAAAGATGGAATTTGAGATGAAGGATTTGGGTAAAACCAAATTTTGCTTAGGCATTCAACTTGAGCACCTTCCCTCAGGAATCATGGTACACCAATCTGCCTATATCCAGAAAATATTGGAGAAATTCAATATGGACAAATCCTATCCATCTAAAACTCCCATGGTGGTTCGATCTCTAGGCGTGGAGAAAGATTCGTTCAGACCGAGGGATGATGGAGAAGAGGTGTTGGGACCTGAAGTTCCATACCTCAGTGCCGTTGGAGCGCTTATGTATCTTGCAAATTGCACAAGACCTGATATTGCATTTGCATTGAATCTACTTGCTAGACATAGCGCAGCTCTCACCAAACGTCATTGGTCTGGAGTGAAGAATATCTTTTGATATCTGCAAGGCACAAAGGATCTTGGTCTATTTTTTCAGTTCCAAAAAAATCAGGACTCTGATATGATTGGATATGCAGATGCCGGCTATTTATCTGATCCCCATAATGCCAGATCTCATGCCGGCTTCGTGTTCCTACATGGTGGCACTGCTATATCATAGAAGTCTTCGAAACAAACTTTGGTAGCAATATCTACCAATCATTCTGAAATAATTTCATTATTTGAAGCAACATGTGAATGTGTATGGCTTCGCAGAATGATAAACCACATAAAACAGTCATGTGGAATTGGTTCGATAGAATCACCTACCATTATCTATGAAGATAATGCGGCCTGTGTTGCGCAGATGCAAACAGGATACATCAAGAGTAATATCACCAAGCATATTTCTCCTAAATGGTTTCCCCCCCATAATCTTCAGAAAAGCAGGGAAATAAGCATTTTGCAAGTCAAATCATGCGACAACCTTGTTGATTTATTTACCAAGTCTCTACCAAATTCTACATTCCAGAAATGTGTTCATGGAATTGGTATGCGAAGACTTAGAGACTTGCAGTGCCGGGGGAGTCTCTTCTTGAGATATCCCTATTTTAATGACATCACATTATGCTATCGTTCTTTGTGAGTATATGTTTCAGGATCTCATCAAAGATTTTATGAAGAACTTTTGAAGGATAATCTTTCAAGACGATAGAGCTTCCGGGACAATCGTGAAGATGATTCTACATGGTCAAGCGTAGATTAGGGGGAGTGTTAAAAATAATTCTGTAATTAGGGGAAAATCTCCCCTTGCCCAAAACCGTCGTTGCGGTTTGTCCCGCAACCGACGCCTCCCTTCGCTCTCCTAGAACCGACGCTCGCTCGAGGGATCATCGTGTCTCTTCGGGAGATATAAAAGGGCCTGTAACCATCGATCAATGGATTCAATCACTTTCGATTCAAAACAGGGTAGATCAGCCGCTGCTACCCGTCGCTTAGGTCGGGGAGCAGGAGTGGAAAGAATGATTGTTTGTGCCCCCTCTATTTCAGGTTTATTAGACACACATGTATTTCTAGATCATTAGTTTGGTAAATAAAATATAATTGATATGTCAAAAAAGGCACTCCCACGTCCCCAAATAAGTGACATGGTTTTACTCCAAACCACTTCGCTTATTTTGGGACGGATGGAGTACTTCCATCTATTTTAAAATGTAGTTAATATTGATTTTCTTTCAAAATCAAACTTCACAAAGTTTAACCAAATTAATAGAAAAATATACTATTATTAATAATACAAAATAAATGTAATATACAAATATGTTTCATTATTTATCGACTCTAATTGGTATTACACATGTACATATTTTTCTCAATAATATACTTTTTCATAAAACTTAAGAAAATCTGTATGAGCTGTATTTTCGAACAAAGGGAGCATTCGAACATTAATTCAAATACAATACATATTTGGTGGGTAAAGTTGATGATCTAGAAATACACGCATTAGTTATACTCCCAATTTAAAAAAGTGATAGTACTTCTCCCAGTTTAAAAGAACCGAAATGATAAATGCCACACGTGACACGTTTGGCACGAAGCAATCCGGTCCTGACTTTTTTACAACTTAAGTTATCATTCGAAAAAAAACCAAGAAAAAAATTAAAACTTGCCATCCAAAAAGAAAGTTGACATGCTTGGCAACTAAAGTTACCATTTTTGCGTCACTAAACTTGTCTAAAAAACATTCTGAGTTGCCATGTGTTTCGTGACATGCGTGTGACAACCATAGAAAGCTAACCCATGCAGTCGAGCAAAAACCAACCCAGTTTGTTGAAAGTTGGGCCCCGAAACGAATGATCATTTGCAACTGAAAACAGCTGCGATTGAACCCAGTTCCTACAAAGCCATCACATAGTTCAAGTGCACAGCAAGAGTCGTGTTTCGCAGCCTTTCCTACAAAAGCCACAATTCCTTTGCAGACGCACAAAACGCACGTCATTTCCTTGCCCTGAGCTTTTCCCGGTGCCTCTTCCCATAACGATGGCTTACCAGCATCTCACTGCTGCCACACAGCAAATTGCAGACCTCGCAGAAGTACAGCGTAGCTTTCTTCTCTGCCTTCTCTGAGCTTGCGTTCTTGCAGTCCGAAGCTAGTTCATTTGCAGTGCTCGAGCTGCTCGCTTTCGCGGTCTCGCGTTTGCCGAGTATCGCCTCGATCTTCTGCTGGTGCCTGCTGCCACTGCAATGATTCTCAAACTGAGATTTGGAGAAACATTTGGCCTGGCACATTCCGCAGTTCCATGCCGGGTGTGGTCCTTGATTCTTGGCCATTTGTGGTGCATTGTTTTTCTTCAAGTTTCTCTCAGGATTCCTTGCCATGTTCTTGCTCTCTTCAAGCAGGGACTGGAGCTTTTCTCGGTGTCTTGCGCCCTTCAGGTGGTTCTTCAAGTCTGTTTCGCAGGTGCATGTAGTTTGGCAAATGCTGCAGCTCCAGACCGGTGATGGCTTCTCTGAACGCTTCGGCACGGTGACGCCATCCGATTTTGCTTCCACCGCCGCTGCAGCGTTCTTCGGTGCGCCATTGCCATTGCCATCGCCATCGCCTTCTACGGATGCTTCTGCGATGTTCTGCTGGTGTCTTTTGCCTTGGAGGTGCGCATCGAATGTCGATTTGGATGTACCGTGGGCCTGGCAGGTACTGCAACTCCAGTTTATCGAGGATGTTTTCCTCTGCTCTGTGCCAAGAGAAGGTTGTGCCGCCGCTGCTGTTGCTGCTGCTTTCGCCTTCTGATCACTTGGCTTGGTTCCTGGGCCCAGTGTTGCTACATTTGCCAAGTGCTTCTGCCCAGCATAATGCATCTGTAAGTTCTTCTCACAGGTCGCTTGCACCTGGCAGACGGTGCAGTTCCATTTCTTGGGTGGTTTGAGCTTCTTAACTGGAATGGTTATTCCTGTTAGTTCCGACTTCCCCGGAAGCGACGTCTTACTCGGCGGAACAGCCTGCTTGATAATTTAACTAAGATCGTTAGTAAGTGAACATTTGAAAGCACGGAGAGCAAACTTGGTAAGGAGTTGGATGCAGAAAAACATACAGTAGAAAGTAAAGTCGCTCCTATTAAACCAGACCCAAGTATTGTGAGAACTGTAAATTTGTCATCACAGGATAAGAAGTTTTTGTCGCACAAGGAGTTTGATTTTGGTTTGTAGACTCATATAATTCTGAAACAGTATTATAAAATGTCAATAGTCAAGACACAAGAGATGCAGTTCTAATCTCACAAGCTGTTCTCACCTTATTGGAGTCAGGCAGTTTATGCTCATCAAACTCTGCATTCTGTAGAGACATGAGCTTCTCGGCGCTTAACGGACACGGCTTAGACCGTCCAGCATCAGTTGCAGCCGCAGCCGCAGCCGCTCCGTGCAATGGCATCGGCATGGCCTGGTGGTCACCAGCTGCAGAGCGCAGGGCCATGGGCTGCTCGGCACTGAACGGCAACGGCTTAGACCATCCAGCATCTGCGGCATCCACGCCGTGCAATGGCATCTGCGTGGCCTGGTGGCTACCAGCCGCAGCGCACAGGGGCATGAGCTGCTGGACACTGAACGGCGACGGCTTAGACAGTCCAGCATCTGCGGTGGCCATGCCGTGCAATGACATCGGGGTGGTCTGGTGGCCACCGGCCGCAGTAAGCAGGGCCATGGGCTGCTCTGCACTGAACGGCCATGGTTTAGACCGTCCATCATCTGCGGCAGCCGTGCCGTACATCGGCATTGGAGTGGCCTGGTCGCTATCGGCCGCAGCGTGCAGGGCCATGAGCTGCTGGACACTGAACGGCGACGGCTTAGACGGTCCAGCATCTGCGGCGCCCACGCCGTGCAATGACACCGGGGTGGTCTGGTGGCCACCGGCGGCAGCAAGCAGGGACACGGGCTGCTCGGAGCTGAACGGCCATGGCTTAGACAGTCCAGCGTCTGTGGCGGCCACGCCGTGCCATGGCATCGGCGTGGCCTGGCTGCTACCGGCCGCAGCACGCAGGGCCATGAGCTGCTCGATGCTTAACGGCCACGGCTTAGACCGTCCATCATCTGTGGCAGCCACGCCGCGCAATGGCATCGGCGTGGTCTGTTGGCCACCGGCGGCGGCGCGCAGGGCCATGGGCTGCTCGTCACTGAACGGCCACGGCGTAGACCGTCTAGCATCCGCGGCGGCCACACTGTGCAATGGCATCGGTGTAGTCTGTTGCCCACCGGCAGAAGCGCGTAGGGCCATGGGCTGTTCGCTATTGAACGGCAAAGGCCCATATCGTCCAGCATCTGTGGCGGCCAGGCCGAGCAATGGCATCGGCGTGGCGGCGCGCAGGGCCATGAGCTGCTCCGCACTGAACGGACACGGCTTAGACCGTACAGCTTCTGCTGCGGCCACGCCGTCCAATGGCATCGAGGTGGCCTGGTGGCCACCGGCCACGGCGCGCAGGGCATTGGCGCGCTCCATCTTGGCCAGCTCGGCCACGATGATCTCCTGGCGAAGGCGGTCCATGTGGAGCTGCGAGAGCAGCGCATCCCTCATCACCGTCGTCGGCTCCTCCTCCTCCCCTGCACCAGGGCATTGTGCAGCAATTAATTAGATGGTCCGCGTGACCAAAATTCCAACTCCTCGTGAACAAAAATTCTACTAAATCGGGGTATTAGAGAAGAAAAAGAAAAATCTGCATGTGATTTGGAATCTGCTAGGATGGACTTAGGTCTGCCCATGGAAGAGGGGGCATGTTTGCGAGACTTGTCTGGGGCAAAGATGAAGAGGTTGTGATGTGCGGGTTCTTCTCCAGTTCTGGTATCTTCTGCCCCCACGGACAGATCCGAAACTCCTTCCTTTCGAGAAACAAACGAAAATCGTAACAAACTCCAATCTACTGTTCTACACGAAAGAAACTGGGGCCATATTTTCGATTTCTAAAAAACCAACGCGCAGATATTGGGGTTCTTGGCACGGAATCACAACAGTAGTCGCAGGCATCTGAACCCAGCAGAACCGAGAGCAAGATGGTTCCGCCATTACTTCATTTGCAGTTAATATTTGACAAGGAAGAAACGACCAGAGCGACAAGGGCGAATGTTTATGAGATGTTTATAGAGTGGCTCGACGCGTACCGTGCGACGGAGGATCGGGGAAGCGGTGGCCGTCGCCGGCGTCGTCGGTGGCTGGACCGCGGCGAGAGAACTCCATTGGTCGGGTCCTCGCTACGTGCCGTTGGGCCACTGACATGTGGGCCAGGTTCCCAAAAGGCCCACATGTCAGTGACAGAACGGCAGACTGCCGTACGTCAGAGGATCCTCATCCGAGGAACCTGAGTCCGGGCCGCCGCGGCAGGTGGTTTTTATTTGGGTGAGAAGACCAGTAGGCGCGCGAGAAAAAGGAGCGTGCAAACGGTTTTCCTTTATTTTTAGAACGCGTGGGCGTGGGAGACGAGACTCTCTCTGCGCCTTCAATGCGGAGGAAACCTGGGACGATTGGGCAGCTTGGGAGGTTTTACTGGGAAGGCCCGGGCACGATGATTGGGCGCCCTAGGAGGTGTTCAATGGCGGCAACGGAACAGCTGCGTAGGCAAACTTGAAGGCTAAGGTTGATGGAGATGGGTTGAAGATGACTCTCTTATGACCCCACTCACGCTCATTCTCATCGGTATTCTGTTGACATTTCGGCCTCGACCCTTTTATAAAAGTTGTTCAGCTGGACGAGGAGCCACGGTTTCCACGCCATATGATCGCTCATGCGAGCGGTCATGGTCGTATGAAACATCGTCTTCTGCTCTGGAATTGCTGGTGCGCCTCTTAATTTCGTCTATCTCCTCCTTTACTCCTTTCCATGCTCTCACTTAATTTCATCCATATTTAGCCCTTTTCGTGTAGAAACACAATAAAGAGAGGATTTATGAAATCCTATGCACTCATTAGTCATGAGTGGCAATATCAGAGCGAAGCGGTTTAAGTAAAGGGTAGAGGAGTACAAAAATATCACTCATCAATAGCCCTGGGCACCAGGAAGTCCTCATGGTCTTCATGAACTTCCAGGCGAAACCATTGCCATGGCAGTAGAAAAACCTTGTCGTAGCAGTCATTCCACAAATGCTGCCACGACAGCAATTTCAAAAACGACTATCTTGGCACCCAAATTTCACCTCTCCTCCCCTGCGCCTTGTACAACCTCCTTGCGTCGGGGTCCTCCTTTGCAAGCTTGTCATCATCATTCGTAATCACAACATTATCTCTATAGCTACTATATTACATCAAAGTTGACACGCAGGTCATTAAAGTGACAATCCTGTGGCTCCAGCCATCATGCCGTATTGTGACACGCATGCCACTTAAATATTACAACATATAACCATCTCATACATAATATCATTATCATGACAAAGGCTATACCACATCACATGCATTATGCAAAACCAAGTTAATGTCCTCTAATCAATTTAGCAAAATTTAAATTTACGTGGCTTCTAAGGTTACCACACAAATACTAGCTACCTACATTGACCATCAAGGTGTGATAATTCTTGTTGCTAGATTAACTTTGATGGGTGTGTGATGGAAGAGACTTAATTAAAAATCTCTAACCCCACACTAAACTTCGTCAATACATGTGACCCCCGTGAAGATCAAACATCTTCATTGCCCTCTCATGTTTACGACAGTTCACTTCTTGACTATGATGTAGCCCAAAGAACTGTTAGCACATCATCGATAACCAGTGTCAATCGATGGTCAGAACTTAGTAAAACTACATCATGTCGCCAATGAACTGAACCGAATCAACACTCGAGGGAAGCATAAACAAGAACATCAGCCCTCACAACCACATGTGATCTAGATCAAAACCTACATCTACTCATAGAACAACTCATGATGCCACTATTGTGAAATGTAGTAGAAAACAAAAATATTTGCCCTAAGATCACGATCCCAGGAACACTATGAAGATGCATACAAGGTTACATCTGATCGTTTACCAACTTTGAGATGCAGCAGACGAAGAGTTAGTGCAGATCATTCTTGAAGTCCCTCGAACCGTCCAGGACGATCACTCGAACAAAAGAGCGAAAGCACGACCTCTTTATAGATTGCAAACATACATGCTTCACGATCAGGCATTGGTTTACCGTCCAGAGCTAATCGTCGCCGGAGAATTAGAGAAGGGAGAAGACAACCTCACGGGACTTCTCTATTACGATAACAAGAGAAAACTAGAACTAGATATAATCTAGAACAAATCTAGACAAGAACTAGAACTAGAGGGAGAGAAGGGCACCCGAGATCAAGGGAGAAACTTGTGTGTCTCAAAGGGGGCGCTCCTCACATATAAAATAGGTGGAGGGAGGGGCTAAGCTGACTTGGAGGAGGGAAAACCCTTGGTTGGGTTGTGGCCAAGGTGGAGGAGTCCAACTCCAACTCTCTTGCGCCCCCTTAGCTTGTCCAATAAGCTAAAAAGGGGCGCGCCATCCCTACATGGGCCTTCAAGGCCCATTAGCTATGCAGTAATAGGCCAATTGATATTTTCTTTAGCCCATTAACTCTAAATAAATTCAACGGACTCCTAGATCATTATCTAAGTTCTCTATTGTTTATATAGTTCTCTCGTAAAAAATTCCGCATATATATCATTTCCTGGTATTACCCGATACTCCCTGAAACTCTTTCGGTAACCCCGAAATGCTTCCGGTTTCTCTCAAAACTATTTTTTATGTTCTTGCAACTATTCCGAGAATACTTTATCATAAGTCTCAGTCCACCAACGCTCAACAGATCGTGATTCCCTTAAGCTTGTGATCTTGTAGGTTCAGTAAAATATAGACATGAACGAAACCCCTTTCATTCAATGACCAATAGTGGAACCGTGGATATCCGTATCGATTCCTATGAATGCACGAATGATATTTGATTGAACCTTTGGTTAGCATGTGATATTCCCTTTGCTTCACGATACTTTACCAAACCCGAGGTAAGATATATAGGCATCCTCTTGAGCCATTCTCATGCTCACTATATCGATCTCCTCATTAGCAGTTTTGTTCTTCTTTCTTGTTGACATGTTCCCGCATCTCTGTGACTGTTGGGGAATGTTGCATGGAAAACAAAAAAATTCTAAGCACACGCAAGATCTATCCATGGAGATGTATATTTATGAGAGGGGGAGAGCATCTGCATACCCTTGTATATCGCTAAGCGGAAGCGTATATCAACATGGTTGATATAGTCGTACACCTTCACGATCTGTCCCGATCAAGTACCAAACGCACGACACCTGCGCATTCAGCACACGTTCATCTCGATGACGTCCTTTCCTTCTCGATCCAGCAAGATAGGCAAAGTAGTAGATGAGTTCCGGCAGCACGACGGCATGGTGACGGTGGTGGTGAAACTATTTCCACAGGGCTTCGCCAAGCACAACGGATTTAGAACGGAGGACGAACTAGAGGGAGAGGGGGCGCCGACACAAGACTTGGTGAATCGTGGTGTCCCCAGGGGCTAGCCCTGCTCCTCTATTTATATGTTGAGCCATGGGGTCGTTTCTTGGAGAAAGAGCCTCCTCAAAGTCGGTCCGGAACGCAAGGAAGAGTCCTTCTCGGTTTCCAGTACCAGATGCCACGGTCCTCGGCGTCTGGCCCAGACGCCATGGGCCTTGGTGTCTGACCCAGGGCCAGATGCCAAGGTCCCTGGCGTCTGGTCCCTGACCTCCGCAAAACTCCCTTTTGGACTGACCTAAAGCCCCGTGGGCCTTACCCCTTGGCCCAACCATATCATCCTATATATCAATCTTTACCTCCGAACCATTCCGAAGTTCCTTGTCATGTCTGTGATCTCATCCGGGACTCCAAACAACATTCGGTCACCAACATACATAACTCATACAATACTATATCGTCAATGAACGTTAAGCATGAGGACCCTACGGGTTCAAGAATGATGTATACATGTCCGAGATGCATCTCCGGTCAATAACTAATAGCGGACCCTGGATGCCCATATTGGTTCCTAGCTACATATTCTACGAAGATCTTTATCGGTCGAACCTTTATGACAAATACGTAGTTCCCTTTGTCCGTCGGTATGTTACTTGCCCGAGATTCAATCATCGGTATCTTCATACCTAGTTCAATCTCGTTACCTGTAAGTCTCTTTAATCATTCTGTAATACATCATCTTGTAACTAACTCCTTAGTCACTTTGCTTGCAAGCTTCTTGTGATGTTGTATTACAGAGAGGGCCCAGAGATAACTCTCCATCATACGGAGTGACAAATCCCAATCTCGATTCATGCCAACTCAACAGACACCTTGGGAGATACCTATGGAGGATCTTTATGATCAC